TGAGCAAGAATGAATGCAGCTTAGCTGAAATGGCGAAAGGTTACTGGCGTCCTTTGCGACAAAAGATTGTTGGACTGACTCAAGCAGCCCTGTATGGCGCTGAATGTTGGTCCGCGTCTACCACACATGAACAGGGCTGAAACACTATAGAGATGCAGATGCTCCGCTGGAGCCAAAGTATCATAAGATGGGAGCATATTATGAGCAATGACATACAGAAGTGAATGGGATGAGCCTCCATTAAGGCGGAATCGCGCCTAAGGTAGTATGGACTAGGGATGTCCAGATCGATCACATGATCGGAAATCGGGCCCGATCACGCGATTTCAGACTTGATCGGAATTAGACATTACCTCCAGATCAGGACTTAAATATACATGCATACATTCTCATTATTTTTAACACATCTATAGTGCGGTGGCAGAGTTAGACCTCTTTCTTGACTTCACACAGAAGCAGCAACGCTAGAGACACTATTGGTTAAATAACGGCAAAGTAGAACATGGAAGCAGCTTAAAGCGGAAAGGTAAGTATGTCTGCGGACTAAGAGTATTAAAAAGTTGATGATGACAATATTGTCATAGAAACTGTGAGATATGTGAACTTGAGATTGCAAGAGGTGTAGAATTGATGATATTTAGTACTGGATAGTTCAAGCTACCTCACTGAAGTGCTCTGTTTGTTATTCTTTTTTATGTTTTATAGAAGTATCGGATGAGGTTTCGATATTGGTAAATACTCAAAATCAAATGACTTGAACTCAAGGGCAAAAAACCTGATTGGGACATCCCTAGTATGTGCACATGTAACCCCGTCGGTCCTACACCACCAAACCCGCTCCAAGCTGGTATCAAACCGGCAACCTTCCGCATGGGAGTCGAGTGCTCTACTAAGGAGGCTAAAAACCATAGCCTCTAGCGTCTGTCGCTAGAGCACCTTTAGAGGTCAGAGGAGTGAGGTTTACCTGCACAGTACAGACTAGCTGGACTCCGGTACACTCACCCCCCTAAACCTCACTCCCATCCGGGTCACGGCACCAATGTAACCCCGTCGGTCCTACGCCACCAAACCCGCTCCGAGCTGGTATCTAACCAGCAACCATCCGCATGGGAGTCGAGTGCTCTACTAAGGAGGCTAAAGACCATGGCCTCTAGCGTCCGTCGCTAGAGCACCTTTAGAGGTCAGAGGAGTGAGGTTTACCTGCACAGTACACACTAGCTGGCCTCCGTTACACACATAAATCAAAGTGATTTGAACTCTGTAGCAAGAACAGTAATGGGGATTACTCCCAGTGGCGTAGCGGACGGGCCCGCAGGGCACGCACCGCGGGGGGGCCCCGCGTGATTAGGGGGCCCCGCGTCGTCGCGATTTTCAATAAACTCTTGGGAACAACTGTGGTCGGAACCAAAGTTCACACGTCTGTGTTCTCTGAACACCTCTCAAGCGGTGGACTACTTCATTCTGATTGCTTGCCGCCAATGTTGCCAACTTAGCGACTTTGTCACTAAATATAGCGACTTTTCAGACCCCCCTAGCGACAAATCTAGCGACTTTTTTGTGTGTTATTGGGGATTTTTTTAGACAGTCATTTGTCCATACTGTACCGTCCCTACTCTTCTCAACGAGCTGCGTGTGATGCCGCCGGCCCCTCCCCCGCCTCACAGCACTGACAGGCGGCCCAGTCAGTCCTCTACAGCAGCCTCTCCCACCTGCAGCCCGAGAGCCGATCACCCCTCTGCGTACCGACGACAAATGATTTAGCACAGGCAGTGTGAAGGTATTTCCCTTGTACAGTCAAACCGATCTGCTTTTACTTTATTTTAACAATTGGACCGTTTATTCTTTTCTTGTTCACAATCACAGATATTTTTGTGACAGTTTCTGAACTTGTCTGAGTTTATTACATATAAGAGATTACTGCACATTCACTACACATCTATAATGACATACTGTATTCAAATAGCAATAAATTTAGTTAAATAAACATGTTTATATAAAGTGTAGTGCAATTATAATTACCCCTTTATTAATTATAGGCTGTTCAACAAACAGAAGCGGTAGAACGTGATGACGTCAGTGATATGCAAAATGACGTATGACGCATTCCCCATCAGGGGGCCCGTCAGCAATCCCTGCAGGGGGGCCTCCGCATTTTGCGCTACGCCACTGATTACTCCAGACAGAGGCCAGCCATGGGGTAGATTAAAGAAACGATGGATGGAAAGAACTAAGGAAGACTTGAAGATCGTCAGATCCCTAGAAGATGCCCTGGACAGGACCAAATGAAGAAAACTTTGCCAAAGAGCGGGTCCTGCAACAGCGGGAACAACGCCAGGAAGAAAGAAATTAAAGATTTAAAGATAGTGATATTATTATTTTTCAGTAATAAATACAATGATGACCATGTTATTTTATCAATTACTGTACCTGAATACTATTAGATTCTTCAGAAAACCCCAAAGCACTGTTTATTTTATTTTTATTTTGTATTTCATTTGCTTGTAGTTTATTATAATTTATTAACCACATAGAAAAAGACTTCATTCCAATTTATCTGAATGAATGAAATGTTCCAAAATACAGCTGTTTAAATTGCCTGGTAAAATTATAGTCATGTCGCAGAAAAACAAAATATCGCAATGTCAGATTTGTCCAATTTTGTACAGCCCTACCAGATAAGAATTTTGATATTTTTATACTAGTAGGTGCAGGGTATAAAGAAAGTCAAACAGGTTTAAAACAAGTAAAGGGAGATAAAACATTATGACAAAATGTTCAGTTTTGGGTGAACTACCCCTTTAAGTGATCATAAGCGTGTGTTTACCATGTTTTTTAATTCAAAGATCTCAGCTTCGTACTGCTCTCTCATTTTATTGGCCTCAATCTGCACATCCACAAGGTCTTTTGAGATCTGAAACACACAGAAAATAAGAAATGATATCAGCTAACGTGTGGAGGATTTTAATATGCAAACAACAGGTTGATGGCATATTTCTAATCTGGTTTTAGCACCTACAGTACCTTCATTTTGTCTTCCTCACACTGGACCAGCTTGACTGACAAGTCACTCTTTGAGGCAGCTTGTTGACCCAGTTTGTTTTGGGCCGAGTCAAGCTTACTAACCAGCAGTTTATTTCGCTCATGCAGCTGTACCTGTGTGGAAATCAGTGTTAACACTATGAACACAACACTGAGTATGTTATAAACTGATGCATATGTTTCAACCTAAGAATTAAACATTTATGCCATGACAGTGTTAATTTGATCAGAAAGGCATAAATAACATCTATATTATGAAATATTATGATTTAAATGTTAATTTGTTAAAAAACAATATTGTAATATGATAAATTGTTGCTCAAGAAATCTTTTTTAGCTATTTTGACAATACACAAACACATATGTCAATTATACATTAACATTTTAATGCAAATCAAACCTAAATAACTTTACTAATAACCTTAATAGGCTGGCTATATAAAAAAAAATCAACGATTAAGTATAATATAAGTAAAGTTAAGTAAAAGTACAAGCATTAATCCCTTCACCAAAACAAGAAATTATCTTACATTTTCGTCAGTCAACAAGCGAATTTGCTCGTGAAGTTGGTTAATTGAGCTCTGTTTGCTCGAGTCCTCCATGTTGTGCAGCTGTCAGACGCAGAAGTGTTATGTCTAGTTTCCATGAACACGAGTCTCCATGGCTGTTCATAATACTGTTAAGCCTCACTGTCAGAGAAAAGCAAACTGTGACCGAGAGCTCCATCTCAGGCATAAATCCCAGATTCGATCAGATCAGACAAATCGGAAATAATTGCTAAGTAATTAGACGTGCTAATCAATATTCACCATGAAAGTAAAATAAGTTACATCAAATTTGATTTAAAAAATAAATAGATAGTGACAATAACTGGACATTTTTTTAAACAAAGTATATATTTTTTGTTGTTGTTGTTGAATTATTATACATTTATATAATTAAAAATATAAAACAAAAATATTGATCATGAGCTTCTCTGCTAGGCCTACTACTTGCGTTTTGGTTGCATATTATGCACCATAATATTAATCATAAATAATAAATTGCTAGTACTTTTGTGCAATAAGATTCACTAATAAGTCAATATTGAAAACTAAAACCCAGCAGCGTCAAAGTTTTAACTGAAATTGTGCTGTAAATGAACCTCTTATTTGACATAAACCGTAGCCAACTTGAAGTTGAAAACTTAAACGAAAGTGAAACCATGTTCAAAAGAATCGACTCACTAAAAGAATCGGAATCACTATCGCCAAACGCTTCAATCATACTTGGTCATTTTTGAAAATCCGATCCTCGCCTACTTCTGCACACGCGCGACGACCGTTATTCGCGTCAGGTGAGATTTAATCGTATTTTCACAAACAACCTAACTAGTCAATGAATAAAGTTATTCATTTAATATTCAAAGGTTTGCAGATATGTCCCGTTCAAAGATTCCCGATACGGATCATTTTACCAGAAACACGGAGGCTGACACCGGAGGACAACCGGAGTCTTGCGACGAACAAGCTGTTCCGGATAATTATGAACTGGAACATTTGCACAAATTCCAGCCTTTTCTGGTTAGGGAGAAATGTGAAGAACTGGTCAGAGAAGAATTTAAAGGGATAAAATACGACCACGACCGCTGCCGTTCAGTCTCAGAGAACTTGAGAGCGAAAATACTGGATCTCCTGAAGAAGTTATTCGACCGTTACCGGTTTGTAGTTCAAATCGTAACAGGCGGGAAAGCTGGCCAATCAGTGCTGGCTAATTTCGAGGCTGTGTGGGACACCGACTTTGACGATTACTTCATGATTACCTACAAACAACAAGATCTGTACGCCTTTGTAATGGTTTTCGCGATTTACTGAATTTAAGTTACTAAAAACACATTACATGTCATACATAAAATGAATAAACCATTTGGACATTGTGCTTCAAGAGATGTTGACCTATTGAAATTCACTCAAAACACAATATGATTTAATAAACATAGAAAATATTTATTAAAATAAGTACAATATATATGATACAAAGGTTGTTGAACAAGTCTGGTCATTACATAGTTTGTAAATTGTACAAAACTCGAATATAGTGGTCCCGTGTTATTCTTGATTGAAAGGCCTCGCACGTCAAATATGCATTCTGGGCATTCGCAAACAAGCTACTCTCTACTTAAGGCAACCTGCAAAATGGCTTTTACAAAATCTCACATCATCTCCCAAAAACATCCCATCTGCTAGACTGGCAGTCCAATAGAAACATGGCACATTTTAGAAAAATGGAGGAGTAAACCAAGACTTGATAGTGAGACTTTAGTAGGCTAGTTTTTGTGAAATGTATGTAGTATCTTGAGGGAATTGTTGTCAATGATTGATGTTTTCATCTTCCTCCACCTCTTCATCATCGTCAGCAGCATGAGTGTTGGTATCTTTGTAGACCAGGCGGATCCCAGCAGCATTTTGTAAAGCCTCCAGACTGGTTTGACTCACATACATGCTCAGGTTTATTTTGGGATGTGTTGATCTCAATTCCTCTATTTTACTCCATGCCTGATGAACACACAAATCACAATGTTTAATTATAGTTTTATTTTAAATGGATCTGTGTGAAAAGCACATCTAATCTAGGTTTCAGGGTTTTTCAGACTCTTAGATTAAATAACCCAAAAACATATCAGAAAACAAGTCAGGTACTGAAACAAAAGCTACAAGTGAGACAGATATGAAAGCATCTTCAGATGTTGTCAATGCATTTAAACCCAGCAAGCATTTTTGTGCTTAAAATACATCTAATAGACATTCAAATATGGACATCTTGGCTGAAACAATGCCACATTTGGTCTGCCAGATAAAATGTAATAGACATCTAACAATAGTCTAATAACAGACTAGCCATCAAATACCTAGGGATGAATGACTGCGCGAGCTCTGTCTAATCTGTCTATTTGATGACTAGTCTAGTTTTGGACTATTGTTAGACGTCTACTACATTTTTGCTAACAGACCTAATTCAGCTTTATTTGAGTCAAGACATCGAGCTGCATCCCAAATGGCACACAATGCACTATGTACTTATGCACTTACACACTCAACAGGATAGTATATGTATGTAGTGGCGTCCCAAATGGCACACTAATGTTTTTTTTACTAAGCGGAAGTTCAAATCGTTTCCCTGATGACGTTTGACGGTTGCCAAATCAGTAAAATAAATGAGCAAACTATCAAATAATACCTGCCGTGAGTACAACCGCATTCACCAACGGGAGGCGCTATGATCACTCTCGCAGGAGAAATTAGCTTTCATTCCAAAATAAATAAAGTTATCCAACATGTGCGTCCGATAGCTCCGCCCCTTCCGCTACGTAAGCAAACCTGCGGTCGTTGAGTGTGTGAAGTGTCCATCATTACACACTTGATTTTAGCGGCTGAATGAGTGCATCAACCGGGTAATTCAAGTGCACTCATTATTTTTAGAGTTTTCAGTGTGAACGCACTACTTACACTATTTATACTACAAAATGGCGTAGAATAGTGCATAAGTATGCGATTTGGGACGCAGCTCAAGTTTGTATGTCTATTAGATGTCTTTTAAAAACTAAATTGTTTGGTGGATAGTTGGTTAATGTGACGTACAGGCTTGTCGACCTCCAAACACTTCCAGAAGGGGTCGACTAGATCACTTCTTTAGTGTAAATGTACATGTGGTTTAATAGCCACAATCTGTGCTCAGATTGACTTTATTTTTAAACTTTATGGGATATATTAATAAGCTTTTAAGCACATATTTTCCTATATGTCCTAATTTTAACATAAACCCACAGTGTTGATGTAGTCATCTACATCTTTAATAAGGGTGAGACCACTTGTTATACTTTAAAAAACAAATGCACACAGATTCTGACAACAACAACAACAACAAAAAAAGAACATGCTAGGATTATATAGAGACCTGCGTGAAGTTGCCATGATGGCAGTAGTGTTCCACCAGGAAGCCGTACACATCTCCAACACGCACTGCCAGATCCAGATCCTTCTCTTCCAGCAGAGACTCGCACAAACGCACTGCTTCTACTGGATCCTCCTCATGCATTCTAAAATTACATAAATACACTTAAAGGTACTGTATGCAAGGTTTTGAACCTTCTAAAGCATTAAAATACCATGATATGTTTGCAGATATTTAATAAACATGCTAAGTGAGCATGGTATTTTATCTGAAAAACAATGCTTAAGTCAGTTATTCTGCTTTGAAAATGCGCTCAGTGTCACAATGTCTGTCTTTGTTTTGGTCTGTGTAGTTCCGCCCACAGCCAGTTCACCCAATTATATTTCAGTTATATGACATTTCATTTCAGGCATAAAGGCTGCCTTAATGTATGTGCCGCAGCTGTTCAAGTGACCTCTGAAGAACAGTCGCAGCCTCCGCAGATTCAGAGTTACAACAATCCATGAGGTGGTTTTTAATGAGCAATTAATACAAAGATTTCAAAGTTAAATATTAGCTAAGCAGTGTTTGTCTTGTCAATTTGGCAACCTGCATGTGCATCGAGTCCCCTGGGAAGAGGATGTGTGAAAAAACCCTCCTTAATATTTTCAATTTGGATTGCAATGATTAATCCAACATACTGCAGCTTTAAGGTGATGATACACAGTGCAACTTTTAGAGCAATGTTGCTGGGGCACTTTCTCATTGTCATTCATTCATTTATTTTCTTGTCGTCTTAGTCCCTTTATTAATCCGGGGTCACCACAGCAGAATGAACCGCTAACTTATCCAGCACGTTTTTACGTACACACACACATTCACACACACACTCATACACTGCGGACAATTTAGCCTACCCAATTCACCTGTACCGCATGTCTTTGGACTGTGGGGGAAACCACAGCACCCGGAGGAAACCCACGCAAACGCAGGGAGAACATGCAAACTCCACACAGAAATGCCAACTGAGCTGAGGTTCGAGCCAGCGACCTTTTTTCTGTGAGGCGACAGCACTACCTACTGCGCCACTGCACTGACTTTTTCATTGTGATTAAGCAATAAAGTTGTATTTAGATGGTGACGCGGTGGTGCAGTAAGTAGTGCTGTCGCCTCACAGCAAGAAGTTCGCCGGTTCGAGCCTCGGCTAGGTCAGTTGGCGTTTCTGTATGGAGTTTGCATTAGGGTTGGGTGATGTCGACCAATTTAGCATCGTACGATGCTTAATGTGAAACTTCGCGATGGACGATGGCATCATCCTCATAGGCGGAAGTGAATTATTTATTTATGACTAATGAATTAATTCATAATGAATGAATTATTTGTAGCCTACAGTTTCAACTACCTGACCCGCATGCTCTTTGTTTTACCCATAATCAAATCATAAATCAATAAAGATAAATTGCACACAAATCACCACCTGTCAATCACTTTTTCCGCGGGAGGTTGGTCGGTAATAAAATTGCACAATCAACAGTATCTGAGGTTTTCACTAAAATTACTAAGTACAAGTGTGGTCACGTGATGTGCGTTTTCAGCGGTCGGAGGGCTGTTCAGAAATGCTAGGTAAAACATGGTGTGGATGTGGCTCATTTTCGTTTTTAAATGCCATTTTAAAACTAAGACGCATTAGTGTAAACGAGGTCAAAGTGTGTATTTTTCGCGAGCGGGTTTGAGGATCGGCGATGCCGGCTCGGCATCGTGTTGTCTATTGGCCATCAGCGATAGATGGCATCGTCTATCAGCCCAACTCTAGTTTGCATGTTCTCCCCGTGTTGGCGTGGGTTTCCTCCGGGTGCTCCGGTTTTCCCCACAGTCCAAAGACATGTGGAACAGGTGAATTGGGTAAGCTAAATTGTCTGTAGTGTATGAGTGTGAATGGATGTTTCCCAGAGATGGGTTGCAGCTGAAAGGGCATAAGCTGGATGAGTTGGCGGTTCATTATACTGTGGCGATCCTAGATTAATAAAGGGTCTGAGCTGAATAGAAAATGAATGAATGAATTGTATGTAGATCTAGTTCCTCTAATAAGTAGCCCAATGTCTCACCTGGTTGCCTACTGACTACATTATTGCCCTGCAGCATTACTCAAAAACCTGCCCTGTGTATTCTCACCTTTAGAGTTGTATGCACAGATGTAACATACCACACGAATAAACCGTTCATATTTCACCATTACCTTCGTGCCTGAATGAACCTCTTGATAAGTCCGAGTCTGTGAGTCAGTATGAGCAGCTTGCCGTCAGCTTCTTCTCCACTGCGGCCTTTTGCTTTGGTTAAACATTTACATGCCTCAGTCAGAGCGCCGTACGCCTTCTCATAATTCTGATAATCGTCAATTTCCACCTGTGCACATACACCACAGACTGCATTTAAGCATAACTGAGGTATTGAGTCCTGTATGACTTTTAAGAGTGCTGTGGGGTGCTCTCAGCATACCTCGGCACAGGCCTCATAGAAACCAGCGAGCAGCTCGAGCGCCCGTCCTTTTGTGTAGAAGCTAATGATGTTCTTCATGATCTCCGCGTCGTTCCTCCAGTCCAGTGACTGCAGGTAATTGGCTGCCATTACATAAATCTCCTTCTGTCTGGAAACGCCAGCGAAAAAGACTATTTTCTCTGTATCTCCTGATTTCAGCAGCGCTCGCATCGCCTGTCAAAAACAAGAATGGAAAAGAACACCTTGATATCTTTGCTTTTGGAAGAGAATGGCGAAAAGGTTTCAGGTGGAGAGAATTTTTTTCTGATAGCCTGTAATGTAAATAATGAAGATCTTTATAACTTTTAAGATGTTTAGAGCACTTAAAATGTATTTAAACAATAGTTGTCACTCTACACTCACCGGCCACTTTATTAGGTACACCTGTCCAACTGCTTGTTAGCGCAAATGTCTAATCGGTCATCACATTGCAGCAACTCAATGCATTTAGGCATGTAGACATAGTCAAGACGATCTGCTGCAGTTCAAACCGAGAATCAGAATGAGGAAGAAAGGGGATTTAAGTGACTTTGAATGTGGCATGGTTGTTGGTGTCAGATGGGCTGGTCTGAGTATTTCAGAAACTGCTGATCTACTGGGATTTTCACGCACAGCCATCTCTCGGGTTTACAGAGAATGGTCAGAAAAAGAGGAAATATCAAGTGAGCGGCAGTTCTGTGGGGTCAAATGCCTTGTTGATGCCAGAGGAGAATGGCCAGACTTGTTCCAGCTGATAGAAAGGCAACAGTAACTCAAATAAGCACTCGTTACAACCGAGTAGAGCATCTCTGAGGGCACAACACGTCCAACCTTGAGGTGGATGGGCTACAGCAGCAGAAGACCACACCGGGTGCCACTCCTGACAGCTAAGAACAGGAAACTGAGGCTACAATTCACACAGACTCACCAAAACTGGACAATAGAAGATTGGAGAAATGTTGTCTGGTCTGATAAGTCTCCATTTCTGCTCCCACATTCAGATGGTCGGGTCAGAATTTGGCGTTAACAACATGAAAGCATGGATCCATCCTGCCTTGTATCAACGGTTAAGGCTGGTGGTGGTGGTGGTGTAATGGCATGGGGGATATTTTCTTGGCCACTTTGGGGCTATTAGTACCAATTGAATAAAGCATGAATCATCTCAGACTGGTTTCTTGAACATGACATGAGTTCATTGTACTCAAATGGCCTCCACAGCCACCCGATCTCAATCCAATAGAGCAGTTTTGGGATGTGGTGGAACAGGAGATTTGCATCATGGATGCGTAGCTAACAAATCTGCAGCAACTGTGTGATGCTATCATGTCATTATGGAATAAAAACTCTGGGGAATATTTCCAGTACCTTGTTGAATCTATGCCATGAAAGATTTAGGCAGTTCTGAAGGTAAAATGAGGTCCAACCTGGTACTAGTAAGGTGTACCTAATAAAGTGGCCGGTAAGTGTATACCTCCTGGTATATTCAAACATATTTTGAATACTAATTCAATGCAACACAATAATGACTGAGAGATGAACAAATGAATGTTCCTTAAAATATAGTACACTCTGTATAGGTTTTTTAGTAAAGTCTGATCATTAAGAGTCCTTAAAATGTCATGTATAAAATTCCCATAGATTATGATTTATAGGGTTAATCTGAGAATAAATTAAAGAGCGTGTAATTACATGAAACTAGCAGTTGTGTGTGGTAAAGATGGGATCAATTTAATTTCACTGTTTTGCATCAAAGATAAAAAAAATATAGGGATTGACCAATGAAAATCAAGTATCTGCCAGGACAAAATAAATGACTGATTAAGCTGTTGATTTTTTCAAACCTTGATCTTGTTTCCAGCTTGTGTGTATTTCTTTGTGGCTAGGTGGTAGTTTCCCTGTCGCATGCAACAATCTGCGATTTTCTCCAGCAGCTCTTTCCTCCCGGCCTCAGACAGAAGAGTTGAGTCTTTCGGCACTGTCAGACTTTCAGCCAGATCTTCTGTGATGGTCAAACTCTGGTCCAAACACAACTGGAGCGCCTCATGGTACTACAAACACAGATTCATAAGCGTATACTTACAAAACATTTAAAAGGGTTTGCATATGTAGATATTATGAAGTTATTTAATTATTTTAGTAAACTGAGATTAAAACTATTGGTAAATTTGTAGTTGTTAAATGTAAAATTGACAATAAATTATAAACTAAAAGTAAACAAAACTAACAAGCATTCACTGAAAAAATAGCGAAAAATAAAACAAAAAATTAAGTTAAAATAAGTCATGGTTTTCAGATATAATAAGTTCGAATTTTGTACCTGTAATTGTGCTTTTACAGCCAAATGAATCAGTCAAGTGCAAGGTTATACACAAAAATATATTTTATATATCAACATAAAATGTTTTATCTTTTCTTCATTTGCAATTAAAAAAAAGAAAGTAAACTAAATATATGGCTGGCATCGGCAGCGTAAAACATATGCTGGCGGTTCATTCCACTGTGGAGACCCCTGATAAATAAGGGACTAAGCCGAAGGACAATGAGTGAATGATTGTTTATCAGAATTCTCCACAACTCTCTTTACCTTTCATTTGTTGGTCTTAGATTCAGCGTTTACTCGAACAATTATTTTATTTTTATTACTAAGAGATTTGCACAAGAGCAACTGTAAGCTGTGCAAACACTAAACTTTGCTCTGGTCGACACTGAATGCGTTCTGTTAACTCTGATAAACTAAAATGACTAAAAATAAAACAGAAATACATAATAAATAAATGAATACATTCATAAAAACTAAATCGAAATTCTGTGCTGGATATTATATTTACAGTTACAAAAATTTGTTTCCCCAAAGATCATTCAATTAATTATTTTCTTTTTGGCTTAGTCCCTTTATTAATTTGGACTCCACAGCGGAATGAACCGCCAACTTATGCAGGATATGTTTCCGCAGCAAATGCCCTTGCAGCTGCAATCCATCACTGGCAAACATCCATGCACACTTATTCACACTCATACATTGTGGACAATTCAACCTTCCCAATTCACCTATAGCGCATGTGTTTGGTGGTCTGTGGGGAAAACCGGAGCACCAGGAGGAAACCCACACTAACACAGGGAGAACATGCAAACTCCACACAGAAATGCCAACCGGCCCAGCCTGGAATCAAATTGTTGATCTTGCTGTGAGGCAACAGTGCCAAATACAGAGCCACCGTGTCGCCAAAAACGTTTTTTATCTGTATGTAAACTAAATTCCAAAAATAAATAAATAGAAATGTGTCCACAAAACAAAAACTAAACTAAAACTAACAAAACCATTAACGAAACAAGCTAAAACTAACGTAAAATGTACAGAAAAAAAATAATAAAAAATAAAAAAATTATATATATATATATATATATATATATATATATATATATATATATATATATATATATATATATAAAATAGAAAATCATTTATTAAAAGCGAAATGATAATAACAGTGACATGAACCGATGTTATATGAGGCGGTTTGTGTTGCATGTTCACCTTTTTGGCAGCCACCAGCAATTCCACAGCTTTCTGGTACTGAGCGTGTTTTATGAAGAAATCCGAGCAGCGTGCTAATAATGCAGGGTCGCTGGCTTCATTTAGGTCCTCTGCGATCAGCTGCAAGGCTCCAAACTGTTCAGTTGCAAAAGCTAGTTCCAGAGCCTTGGAGACATGACCTGCCTGGAGAAGCAGAATGGTGTTATTCAAGCAAACAGCACCACCTAGTGTTAAACATCAACACAGCATGTATTTAGATGTACCTTATGATAAAGCATAACAGCTCGGTCCATATGCGTTCCTTTCTCTTCATAATACATGGCCGTGTCCATCATGTCCTCTGGATTGCTAAGCAGCGCCAGATTCATAAGCTGGTCATCCAGGTTGTTCTCTTTACACAGTCGTATGGCGTTATTATAGGCTTGTGCGCGTGTATAGAAGTGCACCGATTGGCTGATTTCATCCTGTCCCTCGTATTGCCGTGCAACATGATAAGATGCTGCTCTGTTACCAGTTTCATTGGCAATTTCACTCGCCTGAGAAATAGCAAGGTGTTAATAAAGTACACTAGCCATATTGATTTTGTTAGCTCATATTGCTAGTTTTGTGGTGATCAGTACAAGTCATTAAGAAAAAAATATAGTTTGCCTTTGTAATCTTGAATTATAGTCTGAAAATGCACTTCCTGTTTGTTTTCAGTTACAACTGAAAGTATTGGGCGTGGCTAACATATTAACCACGCCCTTTCAGCTGTCAGTTTTGACAACAGACAGAAATGGTGAGCAGGAGGAGTCTGTTAATTGTAATAACTCTTTCCAAACCCTTTTCTAGATCTTTCTGAATAAAATGTCTACTTTACTACATCCAATCAGCTCGCAGACTAACATACCAATCCATACTGGAAACATACTAGCAAACATGCTTATTCATATTAAATTCATGCTAACATGCTAATTCGTACTGCAAACATGGTAGCAACGTGCTAATTCATGCTAACAACATGCTAATTTATGCTAAAAACAAGCTTGCATGATGCTAATTCATACTAGAACCTTGCTAATGTTAGCAACTGCCTAGCAACAACTCAGAATACCTTAGCAACCACCTAGCAACACCTTAGCAACCGCTTATCAATGCCTTAGCAATTGCCGAGCAACACCTCAGCAACCACCTAGCAAAGTCTTAGCAACCATCTAGCAAAACCTTAGCAACTGCCTAACAAGCATTCAGAACACCCTAGCAACCACCTAGCAACACCTTAGCAACTGCCTAGCAATGCCTTAGCAACCACCCAGCAACACTCTAGGAACCGCTTAGCAACGACTTAACGACCGCTAGCAACTAATCAAACACCCAAGCAACCCCCTAGCAACACCTTAGCAATGACCTAGAACACCTTAGCAACTACCTAGCAACACCCTAGCTACACCTTAGCAACTAACTACCAACACCTAGGCAATGCCTTAGCAACCACCTCACAACGCCTTAGCAACTGCCTAGCAGCCACTCAGAACACCCTAGCAATCGTCTAGCAAGCACTCAGAACACCTTGGCAACCACCTAGTAACACGTTAGCAAGCACTCAGAACACCCTAGCAACGCCTTAGCAACCGTTCAGAACCCCCATCAACCTAACTAGAAGCTAAAATATATGTACTTATCTATGCCGACTGTTTCAAACGTTGTAAAAACTATTTCAGTTATTTACACAAGCTCCTTCAAACTTTCAGACACGGCTTTCTCAAGCCACCATAAAGTTTGTCTATGAACTTTACTAGTTTGCTTTTGTATTCTTGAAACAAAGTCTGAAAATACACTTCCTATTTGTTTTTTTAGATAAAACTGAAGGTATTGGGCGTGGCTTACATATTAAACACGCCCCTCCAGCTTTCAGTTTTGACCACAAACAGAAACGGTGAGCAGGAGGAGTCTGTTAGGTTGTAATAACTCTTTCCAAACCCTTTTCTAGATCTTTCTGAATAAAATGTCTACTTTACTACATCCAATCAGCTCGCAGTAGACAAAAACAAGCCCCGCCCACTTTAAAAAAATCTCATTTAATATTCAGTTTCTCTGGGAACTCCGTCACAATATGAAAAAAAAGCGGTCACAGCTTCCAGTTCATGTGGACTTTAATTCGGACACAAAGGAAATTCACTTGAACGTACCTTTTGAATGCTTCCCAGGTAGCAGTGCACGCGCACTTGAGACAAGTAATCCTGAGCTAAGTCGTAATAATGCAGCGCAGCCTCCATGTCTGATTGGCTCTCTAGATAATGACCCCACCACTTATACAGATCCCTGACCAATCACAAACAGAGAGTGGAAACATTAAAGAAAAGTCAGACCGTAGAGGCCACAGTAATGCATCATCTGTGCAGAGTGACTCACTTGTCCTTCATTTTATTGATGTAAATCTCCAGTGAAACGTTATCCTCCATTAACATTCGTGGAACTTCAAACCGATGTGTGTCCGACTTCTCAAAACTGAAGAAGAAGAAAAAGTAACAAGATCACAACCACAATTAGATTTTTTTATTTACTTTTAGCTTAAAAAATTAAGAGACCACAAAAAAATTATCACTTTTTCTGGATGTACTGGATTTACAAGAGACGTTGATTCACCGGTACTGGATTCACCAACATTTAGAGCAGAAATAAATTACAACTGGCCATTTTTCTTTTTTTTCTTTTCTTTTTTTTTTTTTTGCTTGCTTTTCTGAAGTTAAAAACATTGGCAGTGTGTTGTCCGAAGAGTAATATGAACATCTGAATTCATGGCCCTTTAAATGTAAAAAAATGGTAAATGCTTGAAATGAAAACATTTATATATTGAGAATGTTCAAGTGGTCTCTTAATCAATAACTGCCTGTATATGTTAATTATCATACTTATTTATTTGACCTTTTTATTGTAATTGTAAACTTGTTTTATTGTAATTGTCATTAAAATGATTTTGAAGGCTCAAACGACACTAAAGAGTTGGATAATGCTGATGAAAATTCAGTTTTGCCACAACCAGAATAAATTACACTGTATAAAAAAATAATAACTATATATATATATTAGGTTAACTAGGCAGGTTAGGGTAATTGGGCAAGTTATTGTATAATGATGGTTTGTTCTGTAGACCGAAAAAACAAATTAGCTTAAAGGGGCTAATATTTTGTCCCAAAAATGGTGTTTAAAAAACTAAAAACTGCTTTTATTCTAGCCGAAATAAAACAAGACTTTCTTCAGAAGAAAAAATATTATCAGACATACTGTGAAAATCTCCTTGCTCTGTTGAACATCATTTGGAAAATATTTTAAAAATAAAAAGAGTTAAGGGGGGATAACAATTCTGTGTGTGTGTGTGTGTGTGTGTGTGTGTTATTAGCCCCCCTGTTTGTTTATTTTATACATTCTATCTATCTATCTATCTATCTATCTATCTATCTATCTATCTATCTATCTATCTATCTATCTATCTATCTATCTATCTATCTATCTATCTATCTATCTATCTATCTATCTATCTATCTATCTATCTATCTATCTATCCAACTATCTATCCAACTATCTATATATATATAATAGAACAGAATAGAATAGAATATTTTGAAGCTCATAATTGAATTATTTACAATGAATTGACATATGTACATTTATTACTCCTTTACTAAATAAAAGAGAAACAAAGCTGTTTATTTTAACATACGTTATTGAATCATCATTTTTAAAATTACACTCAAAACAAAAAAATGTTTTTCTGCTTGTTTAAACTATTTATTTAAAATGAGCTGAATCAACACAATTACAATCTTGAGATTTATTTTAGATAAATTAAGTGTCAAATGTTCAATAACCCTAAATGGGTGAAACAATTAAGTTAACATAATCAATTCATGTTGGCAAAACATGAAGGAATTGTGAGGAACGCAGCATTACTGAATCAATGACGTCATCAGTGACTATGTTTACATGGATCTACTCATTCATGATAAGTCTAATTATCTGCATTGACCAGAATAGGACAATACTATGATTAAGGTGTTTACATGAGTTGCGTTTTGAAGGTTCCTTTCATGATCCCATGTTATTAGTACGTAGTTCCATTAATGTCATTACGTCACCATTCAACGCTAGTTGCTTGTTCGTCATTGCACCATATGTGATTTAGGTAGTTTTGTTTTTAATTTAGCGAAAAATGACTAGAAAAGGGAAAAAGTTTGATTGTGGTGATAAATTGTTTGTACTGCAAATAATGCCTCTAAAATAGGAATATTCCACATGTCTTAATATGATTTCTGTTTAGTTCAATTATGACTTTAGTCATCAAAAATCTCTGTTTACATGGTCGACTCTTAATCAGAGTATTGACTTAACCTGATTAAAATCTTTTTTTTTTTCTCTTAAAATGAGTGTGTGAATGTGACACTCACTACACCAGCGCCAGGTTCTTGTCCCCCATGGCCTCCAGGTGTTTGGCGTAGCTGTAGTAAGTGGTGCGGAGGTGAATGCGGTCGTGTGTTTCTGCCGTCTCCACCGCCTGCTGCCACTGACCCGCCGCTTGATAAAACTTGTTGAGTAAATCAAACCTCCCGCATGACTTATACAACTGCTCTGCATCCTCCTGAGAGAAAAAGAGACAGAGATGCTGCGATAAAGCCAGATGTTTAAATCCAAATGTTTAGCTCCTGTTATTGTACTGAATGAGACAGAGAGGCTCCAAGCGCACTAGGTTTATTTAGATAACGCAGTGTTTGTGCTACTGTGCTTTAAACACACAGAATGTCATTTGTAATGTACTCAACTTCCATACCGTGACGCAGATGTAATATATAGAGTTCAAGTCAGAATGATTTGCCCTGCTGTGAATATTGTTTTATTATTTTATTAATTTCCTAAATGATGTTCAATAGAGCAAGGAATTTTTCACAGTAATTCCTATAATATTTTTTCTCCTGGAGAAAGTTTTTTTTTTTTTTTTTTCGGCTAGAATAAAAGCAGATTTTAGTTTTTTAAACTCATTTTAAGGTCAATATTATTAGCCCCCTTAAGCAATATTTCTTTGAATTGTCTACAGAACAAACCATTGTTATACAATGACTTGCCTAATTAACCTAGCTTGCCTAATTAACCTAGTTAAGCCTTTAAATGTCAATTTAAGCTGAATACTAGTATCCTGAAAAATATCTAGTCAAATAATATGCACTGTCATTATGGCAATGATAAAAAAGCAGTAATTAGAAATGAGTTAATTAAACTATTATGTTTAGAAATGTGCTGGAAAAAGCATTACATGTGAATAGAGTGAAAGAAAATTAATAATTATCACCATACTTCCCCAGTTGACTGATTACATTAAGAACTAATTTCTTACTGCACCCCTGAGAAAATCCTATTCAGTGTTCGAAAATAAATTGGAGCTTTTTTTTCTGGAGTATCAACCTTTGACTTCTTAGCTGCATCTTAATTGTTTACCTTTTTTCGGTTTGTTTGTTAGATTGTTTTTCTCTATAGAATTTAAATTTTGTTAGGTTAATTAGGCAAGTTATGGTAATTAGGCAAGTCATTGTAAAGCAGTGGTTTGTTGTGTAGACAATCGGGGAAAAAAAATTGCTTAAGGGGGATAATAGTATTGAGCTTAAATGGTTTTAAACAAATAAATACTGCCTTTATTCTAGCCGAAGTAAAACAAATAAGATTTCTCCAGAAAAAAACATATTATAGGAAATGCCGTGAAAATTTTCCTTAATCCGTTATTTATTACTTGAGAAAGAATAAATATTTCACAGAAGAGTTAATAATTTTGTCCTCAACTGTATATTTGACAACACAACAACAACAAAAGATTTTCTAACATAGTTTGGGTATGTTTTTAGAATAAAATGTTAATTTATGCTACAGCTATTATAACCAGACAAATTATTTATGAACAAATTCCTTTGTACAAAAAAAACTTTCAGAATACAGATATTAATAAAACCGTGAAGTGAAAATTTATGAACGAAATTAATTTAAAGTTTTTAACTAAAATCTACAGAAGCAAACTGACAAAGAGTGACAAAAACACTTACAAATATATTCTTTACATTGGACTAAAAAACACTAAATTAAACAGTGCATGAAAAAAACACTTATTTTACTTGCTGCGCCTCACCATTAAAAAGTTATTTAATTTACATTGGTGAACATATTGATAAACTTTCCTTACTGGCATTAATGATGCAGGCAAAAGACATTCAAGTAATAGTTCATCCAAAAAATTTAATTCTCATTATTTTCTTACCTGAACTTGTTCCAAACCTTGTCTTGTTCTTGAAAGTTTCTTTCTTTCTTTTTTTAAACAAAGAGGATGATATTTTGAAGGAAGCTGAAAACCTGTAACCATTTATTAATTAATTTTCCTTCAACTTAAGTTATGAGTTCTCACAGCGGAAAGAACCACCCTGCAACCATTGACTTCAATAGTATTTGTTTTTCCAACCATGGAAGTCGATGGTTACAGGTTTTCAGCTGTCTAAAGAACATTATTATTTGTGTCAAAAAGAAGAAAGAAACAAAGGTTCGATAATATTTTGGAGAGCTTAGCCACAGGACAACAGCCCCACTGCGATCACCACACACCAGCTATAGGTAGAGTGGAGAGACAGTGATACAGCCAAATCAGTGAATGGGTGTGATTGGGAGACTTTGATAGGTAAGGGATAATGGAGGGAATTTGACTAGGACACCAAGGTTACACCCCTACTCTTTTACAGGAAGTACCATGGGATTTTTAATAACCAAAGAGAGTCATGACCTCAGTTTAGTGTCTCATGTGAAAGATGGTGCTCACTGACAGTATAGTGTCCCCTTCACTATACTGGGGCATTAGGACTCACACAGACAGCAGGTTGAGCGCCATCTGCTGGCCTCACTAACACCACTTTCATAAGCAACCTAACTGACCTTCAGTCTGGTCAGTACCTGACTGAATGACTACAGGGAAATATTAGGTATCAATAGAACTATTCAATGATGCGTTTATGTCATTGTTCAGTAAGTGTTTTTGTTTCTCACCAGCATGCCGAGTTGTGTAGCCAGAACAGCCACCTGCGCCTCCACCTCCGGCTCTTTTTCAGCATCTCTGAGAGCTCGAGCTGCCCGTGCATTCCCCATGTTGCCCAGACACACACGAGCCACGTCCAGACGACGACTTTTTACACACATACGAGCCATGTTCTCCCACACTGCCTCACTGGAGATGCACACATGAACACACACAACATGGCAAAACATTCATTTCTGCTTAAAATAGCAGAAGGAACTTTAGTGTGGTTTTAAATTCACCAATAAACAATTTTCTCAAGAGCACATCTGTTGGTTAGGGAAGTGACAACTGTTGTTTTCTAAATGTGTTTTTAACAGTAAGTGATACATCTCTGAAGACAGACCAGTTGTCAGGGCCGGATTAACCAATGGGCCTTATGTGCACAGGCCCAGGGGCCCATGCGCACTTGGAGCCCCTGCGAGAGGGGAGAAAAAAAAAAAGACTATTTCTGAGTGTCTTTTTAGGGTAGTTGCAAATAGCGCACCTAGTTGGAATAAGCTGTTCACGGTTTACGCCTGTAGGTGGCTGATTGACATACACAACATGAGTAAAGAGTAAGTCAGAATTACAGCCTCAGTGGCGCACCTCGTAAAACGCACAGCAACGTCTTTTGACGCGATTGATCAACCCGGTTCGAATCCACCATCAGCTGAACTTGTGCTACTTTTTTTTCCCCCTTAACATATTAGATTGGAAATACATTTATTTTTAACAGGAAGGAAACATTTTTAATAAATAATGCAAATGTTATGTAAAGTCACAAGCGCCTTGTGGGTATTTAATAATGTTTAGCCTTAATAAAGGTGCCTCCCTCTCTGTAAAAACCATATTGATCAGACAACTGTATTTCCTCTGAGCAAATAAATCGCGATCACATATTAATATTATTGTTATATTTAAATTGTCTTTCTTTCTTTAATTAAACAGAATGCTGTAATTGGTCAAGCGCGGAAACGTCAGTTTTGAAATAACCCGCACTAAACTGAGCGGACTGTAATGTAACGTTACGTTAGTACTAGTCATAGATCAAAAATGAGTGTGTGTATATATATATATATATATATACATAATAGTACTATATTATATATAGTACTATTTTAGTGAATTTGAACAAGTATACTAAAAAACATGAATTTTCACTAGTTATATTAGTATTTTTACTTATTTTTATGCTTTGGAAAATAAGTTAAATCGTTGTAGACTATAAATACATATGTACTATATATCATTTATTTAAATATGTGGGCAACAAATTATAGGTTCATTTTATTTAAAAATTATTATACTATTCTTATTTTATTAATTCAACTATAGGGGTGCGGCCAGGTAGGGGGCCTTACAAGACAATGTGCCCAGGGGCCCCTGAGTTCTTAATCCGGGCCTGCCAGTTGTTAATCAATTCCTTTGTTGAAGCAATAAAAAAAACTATTGTGTGTACTGTGTGACTGACAAGACTTTTGGACATAAAACTAAACATCTTGTAAATCAGTGTAAAAAATCTCATTTTCATAATTGTCCAGCATCAGCCCTCCTGCTGAAATTCAGTATTTTTTCAGTAATTCAGAAATTCAACAGCTGAGTTGGACAAATGTCTCTTTCAACTTTGAAATAAAGAAATGTTGTTGCAGAAAACACACAATTCAACAGCGAACGGACAGAAGTATTTGTTTACATCTGTCTGTTCTAAACCTGTATGTTTACTGTACGATGAGTGCGTATTACGTTATGTGCGCTTAAGTTTCAATTACTGTAAATGAGTTTCTAAATAATTGTAGATTATGTTATGCTGCCTTCGAAATGCAACATTTTAATATGTATGTAAAAATAAAACTATTGTATAATGCACTGATATTATGCAGTTTTAAAACACAACATATTAACGTTTTAAAGTAGAAAACGCCAACGTGGGTGTCCTAAGGCAGGGGTTTTCAAACTGTGGGTCGCACAGTGAACAAAGGTGGGTCGTGCAACGTCACATAGCTGCAGCTATATTTACACTGCGGTGAATCAAAACCAGTACGATTGACGGCAACAACTCAAAAACCTCTTACCCTAAAAATATCTAAAGTGTGTTTCCTACAAAAAGACAAAGCTGGTTATGTTTCACAGCTGTCTTTTTCTTTTTTATTGCTCAACATTACAAGCACTGCTCCGTTTGAGCCCTCGCAATCTGCGTTTAGCCGGTAGAGCTCGCGCTGAGCGGAGCTCTCAGTAAGGGACCGTCGGAAAAGTGCTTCTTTTTTTTCCGTTTTTTTTTTTTTGCTCCGTCCTGCGTGTTTTATTTTAAACACTATTAATTTTCTCTTAAATGAGCACAAACAGTTACTAAAGTAGTCGAATGCTTCATTATAGATCTTTGCATTCTAACATTAACACCTATCAAACAAAACACAATGAGAGATTCATTTGCTGCTCTTCACTAAATAACTACAGTAACTTTAATCAATATGCAAATTCAATCAAAAGTTTAATAGATTTTATAGCTTTATTTAATTCCTGTATAGGCCATTGATTTTAATAGGATAAACCTTTTATTTTATTGTCAATATTTTCTAATGTTTGCTATGTATTCTATCATTTGAAGTTATTTGTTGTCCAATATTTTTTACATCCCAACATTGACAGATTGCTAATCAATAAATAGCTATAGTGCTATCTGTTAGTTTTAACGTCAGCTAATGTTATGGAAGGGCATAGATGTTATGGAAAATAGTAATAGTAATGTAACTACCCCCATCATTCCTTCCTCAAGCAAATGTGTAAATATTAGATCTATTCAGCGATATCGTTAATTGCATTGGCATATTTATCTGACCTTTTTCCAGCTTGTAGTAATCGATCAAAAAGCTGTTTAGTTTCTTATGACTACACTAGCAGTGGAATTTACTGCGATGTGACGGGGCTTGATCATAATCAAGGGGCTTGATCAAAGGTTGATCGTATTCTCTTCTAAAAAACGAAGAGTATCTTTTTCAACAAAAAAAATATCACAGTTACAGCCAGCATCCCACAAAAAGCACTTCGAGCCTCATTTTGTGCATTTCAAATCGCAAAATCCAAAAAGCCGCACACCATATATTTTTGACTGCTTTGAATGGATACAATTTTTACCCATTTTTCCATATTAAAATATTATGGTGGCTCTTGAGATTGAATTACTTGCCTAGGTGGGTCCCGGAATAAAAAAGTTTGGGAATGCCTGCTCTAAGGAGCAAAAATACAACATATGGGCTTTTATATTGCTATTGTGTCATCACTTATATTGCAAATCATATCTCTCCTGCCCCTCATTTGGGATGCTTTTCATGAACTGGCCCCCATGACAAACTAATTGATTAGCCCTGATGTAGATCATAAATAAATGAATATGTGTTATAATCAGCTTTTACTGACAAATATTCCTTTTTTAAAGGCTGCACAACATGAAGCGTGAAATCCACCTTAAAAGGGTGCGAGAGTGTGTTCACAATGATCTTCAAAGACTCTTTCTTTTGCACTTGAACACAAAGCAGCTGCACTTTGGGTGTTTCTGCTGTTCGTCCTCATGAGCGAATGGTCTGAGCTATGCAAGGAATGACCCGATCAACACCGAACGCTCTCCTCCACATTCCTGCTCTCCCACTCGCCTGCCCCTTCATGCCCTCCCTCCTTTCTTCATCCACTCCCATCTGGACTTCATTTATCCAAAATCCACTCATTCGCCTGCTTTCTCGCTGCGTTCGGCTTTAGTAGATACAGATGTGGGCTGTTTATTAGAGTTGGGCAACAGGAAATTCCCTGAATCTTTGGGGGCCCAGAACTGAGAAAGAACGAGCAAAGTAGAAAGCTGGGTTTCTGCAGGTTTCATCAAGTCAAATTTAAGAATTTTATAGACTTTTTAAGACCATTATGAATAAAGTTGTAAACTTATACAGAGCTAAACACTTTTTGATTTTTTTTGTAATGGTCCAGTTGATCCAATGAAATAAAAAAAATAAATAAATAGAAAAATCCAAATAGTTATTTCTTAGCCACATATTTTAATGTCCATTTTTTCAACATATTTTTAACTAACTGCATTCTGTTATAAAAACCTTAGTTTCATGCCTATTTATTAATATTTCGTCCACTCGCCCTTCTGTAAATAGTTTTAGTATAAATAGACTTTTAACAAATTCCTTGAGTTGTCCTGAGAATATCAATACCAATTATGCCTGGATTTACTGAACTTCCTGTCCACCATCTTGCTTCAACTCCTCCCACATTGTTTAGCTGATCTGCACCAAATTTGAGTTCGACCATCTTCAGACTGACAAAACGTTATGGAGTTTGTGTTGATAGGTGTAACAGGTTTTTTTTTTTTACTGCACTGACAAATATGATGGCATGATGCCAAACTGTCTCTCTGCGATAGTTAAAGATAATGACATCAAGTTAATACAAATATTGACACCATTATTGATGAAACTTACAAATTTGGTAATTACTTCTGCCTGCATATGCTTATTTTGATGAAATTGGTCTCAAATTATTTCTTGAGTCCTGCCGACAACACAGATACCAATTATGCCATAATTTGCCAAACTTCCTGTCCGCCATTTTGATTTAGTTGAAACCATTCTTTTTTTACATACCTGTCACACTTCCTTTTAAGATTCAATTCTTGCTATTAATAAAACTATGACTTTTGCCTCAATAAACTCCCATTTTGCTGCTTTTTTTAATCAATTATTGAGTTAGTAATTAGTTATTATTAAGGTAGTTTAGATATAGGGTAGGATTGGGGGGTGTAGAGTAAGATTATGCAGACTATGTGCTTTACAAGTAATAATAAACAGCCAATATATTATTAATAGGCAGGTAATAAACTACTAGTTAATATTGACAAATGTTAATTAAACCAAAGTCACTTTAAAGTTAGTCATTTCACTCGGCAGCCATCTCAATCTAAAAAAGAACTCAAGAGGTCTGTAACCACTACATGGTTGTATACATTATTGTAACTTAAAAATTCTAAAATGCTGATAAGATAAAAACTTTCAAGCTGCCAGAATAATTTTATTTAGTTTTTAAAGCAGGAAAATATTGATAAATACATCAATTTAAAAATGCGGCTAATTTAAAGGTAAATATATCTGTCAGTTGCTTTAAAACAACGTTTAACTTGTAGCAACCCAAAGAAATTTTTCCACACTAATGGAGTTGTTTTGTATTTTTAAGTCCACACGCTGATCTTTTTTATATATTTGTTTATATTGATAATATGGGACAGTAGATGTTTTTGTTTTGTGGAACAATAAAAACCTGTGGTTTAATGCCAAAAAAAATTACCGGAAAACAAAAATGTTGTTGTTAAATGTATTACTTACAAGCATGAACAGTAAATGTGAAAACAAACAAAAAATTAAACAATTTCAGATACTTCATTTATTTGAGGTTCTAAACTTGAAAATGTGCTTGTAATTAAGCACATAACACTGTATTTGTTTTCAATTTTAATAAAAAAAATAATTGAAACAACTTATTTTTTGAGTACTCAGCTTAAATATTTGAGGTTTTTGCTATGTAAAAATGCCTCTGCTTGAAGAGGAAAAGATTTGGCTAACATAATAAACTTTGTTGTTTGTTGTGTGAACTTCAACTAACTTTTGTTAGATGTTGTCGTAACTTGAATATAGTATACTAATGCAAACTGTTGCGTCAATTTTTTTTTTTTGTATAACGATATTTTTTAGAGTGAGGCATTCTGTTTCACTGGGGAAACATCAAATTCTCCAAAACTGTTTGCCACACTTATGATTAATGTTCAACTTAATTTGATTGTTTAAATTCAGCCCAAATAAATAGTTTACAACAACCTAAACAAATTTAGCAATTCATCTTTGAATCATTTTTTTCAGTGTAGTTTCATTTCTTAATCAAAATCGAATCAAACAAAATAAGCATATTTTCAGGTTGCCCGAGCTAATGCGCATGCGCACTTGTAAGGAATGAGATCACGACACCAACTTAAGTTATGGCCGTTCTACACATTATCATCCTCTTGATAATGATCGTCAGACCGCGCTGGTCTTCTGAATTAATTCAGAACTTGGGCTTGAAGAGAAATCTCCTCCCAAAATAACAGCGACTCTTTGTTTACAGGTTTTACAAATGATTTGCCCTCTTGTGAATTTGTTTTTCTTCTTTAAATATTTTCCAAATTATGTTTAACAGAGCAAGGAAATTTTCACAGTATTCCGTATATATATATAGTTAGTATATATATATATATATATATATTTTTTTTTTTTTTTTTGAGAAAGTCTTATTTGTTTTATTTTGGCTAGAATAAAAGAAGTCTTATAACCATTTTACGGTCAATATTATTTGGCCCTACTGCTTTAAAATGATTTGCCTAATTAAGCTTGTGGTCCCACTTTATATTAAGTGGCCTTAACTAGTATGTACTTACACAGTAATTAATAGTTTGTTACAATGTACTTATTGTGTAAATACATGTATTTATTGTGTTATGCTTGGTTAAATACATGTATGTAATTACATCTGTAATTAACTTTTGTAACTACATTTGTAAATACACTGCTGACCATCCCTTACACCTTAACCCACCCCTAAACCTACCCACGCTACCAAACCTGTCCATAACTCAACCTCAATCCCAACTCAAATGCACCACAAGTGTTCTCAAATACATTATAAACACAGTAAGTACATTGTATTTATTTTTTGATGTAAGTACATAATAGTTAAGGACACTTAATATAAAGTGGAACCAAGCCTTTAAATGTCACTTTAAGCTGAAAACTAATATCTTCAAAAATATCTAGTCAAATATTATTTACTGTCATCATGACAAAAATAAAATACATCAGTTATTAGAAATAAGTTTAACAGGGGAGATAAGTTTTATCCTTATTAACTATTAGGAATTAATATTAAGAGACTATTAAATACGTTTGAAATGTGTTGAAAAAAATCTCTCCTTTTAATAGAAATTGGGGAAAAAATCTAACAGGGGAGCTAAAAATTCTGACTTTAACTGTATATATGTTTTACATTATGGGGAATACTTTCAAGATGTGCATGAACTTGAACTCACAAAACTTTTTTCTAATTCATATTTCCTCAAACATGTCACAAATGCTGCATGTCTTATTCAGTGCTGCACTTAAATACACAATAATTCACCTCCTGCTCCATTAATAACCATCTCAAAGAGAGAAAGAGGACGGGTGTTGCATTCTGTTCTGTCTGCTTTCCTTCCAGGAAACACATCCTGTAGATGGAGCGACGTATTTGTCACACACAGAAAGCGAGACAGAGAGAGAGAGAGAGAGAGAGAGAGAGAGAGAGAGAGAGAGAGAGAGAGAGAGAGATAGGGAGAGTATTCCCAAGTCCACCCCACCATCTCATCCCACTTCTTCTGAGCTTTTCAGGGATGAAACACGCGCGTGTGAACATGGGAAACACAGTGTGAGTAATCTGAGCTCGCCGAGTGTGGGAAAGCAGCACAGAGACGGCATCACGCAGACATTCCTCAACTTTCCCAGCAGGGAGACCTCAGAAAAAAACAACCCAGAGCACATCTGCAGGAGCGAGGGGGAGGAAACAAGACCTCAGAAAGAAATCCCAGAGATTTTGAGCAAGCGTGTGATGGCCTTGGAGGTCCAGCGTCCAGCATTAAGAGCGAGCCCAGACTCTGAAGAAGAGGGATAGAGACTACCTAACGACACAAGAATGAGTGGCGATGTCCTCTAGCTAAGCGTCTCTCAGCGTTAGCGTAGGGTTTTTGGGGGGGGCGTATGGCCGTGCGCAGACTGGTGGAGTTGGCGGCGGCGGTTGCCCTGCTATCTCTGGTGCTCAATAGCGTGGCGACGTTCAGCTCCGGCTGGGTGCTGCAGGTGCTGGACGACGGACGGCGTCGCAGCGTTGGGCTCTGGAGAGCATGTGTGCAGGAGGATACACACACTCATGAACTCACAGCCTGCCAGAGACTGAGCTGGGGATCAGAGCTGGCGGGGTACCAGGAGTCTCGCAGCACAGTCAAACGTGAGTCTCTGGGATGCATAGCAAGGTCTACATGTCCATTACAAGATAGGGCTGCATGAAAAAACTGACATTGCAATATTGAGTAAGACCTCTTAAGGCCCGATGTGTTTTTTTACATGCATTTTTCAAATGTCTTTTCTATTTGGGCTTATTGGAAAGTATCATCTTTTGATATGATGTACTTTTAGAGAAAAATTATGTCCATATATGTGGACTCCTGGTCCCAATTTACAATAAACTTTCCTAAAAAATGTTTTATGCAAATTTAACATAGAATTTTTTTATTTTATGTTTTTGAATTTGCTTTGACTATCAGACAGTAAAAACAACATTTTCCCGCATTTTGGACAGTTAAATATAGTGTTTGGGACATTTTGCAAACTGCAAAATAGTTGCAGGATGACACTGTATGTCTGTAACAAAATATAAAACATTCAAAGTATTTTAAATAGCCACGTAAGAGCTAAAAATGTGCTGTCCATGTATGTGGACACTCAAGCCCTGGGAGGACAACTTCACCAGATGACTCAAATGTCTCAGTTTTAAAGGAATATGTAATTTAAGATTGATTGGGATATTTTGTGTAGGTCAGCACATCTGGATGAAATACAATAAACCAAAATCACAAGCACTGATAGATGCGGTAGCAAAGGAACAAATGAAATAAACGGTGCTTTACAGTTTTCTGGGAGTCTGGAAGTATTCAGGTACATAAACTGAATTATCACAATGTAAAATAACACTGCACTGTATAAGCTTTATTAAGATTTCATTAAGTCACAAACAATACAAACTGTTGTGCCCAAAATGTTTAAAACCTTCTTGGAATGCTTTCACAGACACAGACCATAAAATATATGCAATTTTTGGTACATTTGTGGAGTTACTTCAAAGTGGAACAATAAATCACGTTATTTTTTAGGTCTCACTTTATATTAAGTGGCCTTAACTGATATTTACTTACACAAGAATGAATAGTTTGTTACAATGTACTTATTGTGTAAATACATTTATCTACTGTGTACTTATGCTTGAATAAATACCTGTATGTAACTACACCTGTATTTAACTTCTGTAATTACATTTGTAAATACACTGCTGACCATCCCTTACACCTTAACCCACCCTTAAACCTACCCACACCACCAAACCTGTTCATAACCCAACTCCTATCCCAACTTAAGAGCACCACAAGTGTACTCAAATATATTTTGAACAAAATAAGTACAAGTATTTATTTTTTGATACAAGTACATAGTAGTTAAGGACACTTAATATAAAGTGGGACCTTTGTTTTTTCAATATTTACTAGACTATAATCCTGACTCCACAATTCAGATCCTGCAATGTGTCTATTGCAAATGCTCTTATTGCGATATCGAAGCTGAAACGATATATTGTGCAGCCCTAATACAAACTAATAGATTTAAATGCACTAACTGATAAAAGCACTGCGTTCTGCATTGCATACTGTGATGTTCTAAGTGACAAAATAAAGGAAACTGAACTGATTGAACCTTATATTACTAAATACAGCAGAAAAGTGTAATACTTAAAAGGGATAGTTCACCCAAAACTGAAAACTGAAATCATTTGTTTACACACCCTTCATTTGTCTCAAACCCTGTTTACTTTTCTTCTGTCGAACAAAAAAGAAGATATTTTGAAAAATGTTAGAAATGTGTAACCATTGACTTTTCATAGAATTTGTTTATCTTACTATGGATTTCCAACATTTTTCAAAATATCTTCTTTTGTGTCCAACAGAAAAAGTAAACTCATAGACATTTGGAACCCCTTAAGGGCGAGTACTTTTTCATATTTGGGTCAAGTGTGCCTTTTATAATGCCTTTTATTAAAAAGATAATTGCAAATAGAACATTAACAAGCTGCGAAGCACTCCAATAGATTTAAATGCACCAATGACCTTTATATTACTAAATACAGCAGAAAAGTGTAATACTTAAAAGGATTGTTCACCCGAAACTGAAAACTGTGTCATTTGTTTACACAAACCCTGTTTACTTGTTTTTCTGTTGAACAAAATTTTGAAAATTTTGAGATATTTTTAAAACTGTTGTAAACGTGTAACCATAGACCTCCATAGAATTTGTTTTCTTTCTATGGAACTCAATGGTAATATGTTTGTAACATTTTTTAAAATATCTCCTTTTGTGTCCAACAGGAAAAAGAAAACTCTGAGATTTGGAACCTATTGGTGTGAGTGAATTTCATTTTTGGGTGAGGTGTCCCTTTCATAATGCATCTTATGAAAAAGTTAATTGTAAATAGAACATTTACAAGCTCTGAAGAAATCTAATAGATTTAAATGCACTGATAAATCATATGTACTACTAAATACCACAGAAAAGCTTAATACTTAGAGAGACAGTTCACCCAAAAATGAAAACTGTCATTATTTAGTCACCCTTCATTTGTCACAAACCCTGTATCTTTAAGTTTCTTTTTTTCTGCTGAACACAAAAGGAGATATTTTTAAAAATGTTGGAAATGTGTACCCATTGACTTCCATAGAATTC